TGCACTTCGCGCGCGCTCTTACTGTTCGCGCGAAACCGTGAGAATTACGAGGTAAGGTACTCTTTCCGTTCGCTCTCGGCTACTCTTGGCCGTGCGAAAACCCGATTTTCCAACGATCGACAAACGGATTCGGCTCGTCGAGTGTTGTTGCATTTAGCGACGTATGAATGTTGCTTTTATCAGATAAATGTCCATTGGATTACCCGGTATCCTTATTCATTCGTCGATAACATCGTCATGTATCGTGTAATATCATTGTCTTTGAATGAAACGAAGTCTTTACTATCTCTCTTTTGTATCTTTGTTATTTTACTTAATATACAGGATGAGGCGATAATTATTAACCACTCTGGAACATCTTCATAACATGAGAAGGTAGTAGAAAAATTGACGGAAAGATTGCAGCGACACTAATGGCCATCATTCCATATGGCATGAATATCCAAAAGACATCCTAGAGACGTCCCAGGGATATTCGGACATCTCTGGGACGTCCGTAGGATCTCTTGAATATTTCTGCTGTCTCTTGAATATTTCTACCGTGTGGGACTTAGGACACCTGTAAAAGTGTAAACTTTTCTCACCTGCATCTAGGAATTACTAAGATATGTGCGATATTCCGGGGATATTCGAGGAGGTAATTAGTTATTACCTCACCCGTCATTATATCACACAACATCGTTAATAAGTCAGCTGCGTAACGACGAATTGGAGCGCATCGGGCCTTTCAATAAGGTAACGCGGATCGATGAATTTTGGGACCCGGACAAGTCGGACATCCGAACGGTGCGACCCGCGGGGAGTCGATTAACCGGATATCCGAGGGCGTTTATATTCTGTCGGCTGTACTGGAACCGGTATAGATCTCCGTGCTCAGGCTGGCCGCGAGAATACACACGTAATCGGCTAGAAATCGTGGGTACCGCTCTCGGCGCGGATCCTCCGCGGGAGAGAAACACGCGGCGGGAAAAATGTTGATTCACGAGCGATCGAGGACGATGAACTGGATCCGGCTGATGATCCAGTCGCGCTTCCCTTTGTGGCGTCCACTCGTCGTTAAGTCCATTCTCGAAATATATCCTCCGTCCAGGCAAGGTCGTTCCTTTCTTCGTGACCTCGCGTTCCTGCGAGAACGTGGCTCCCCTTTGCCGTGTGTGACTCACACGCTTACGCTTCGCGCGCGCCCACATTCGCGCGCACACTCGCGAGATTCCCCGATCGCGCCAAGGGGAGCCCCGCTAATTCTTCTTCACATTGTCGGAAATTTGACTTTGACCGGGGACAGGGACAGAGAAGAGGTGAGAGAAAGGGGAGAAAGAGAAAGAGAGAGATAAAGGGAGATAAACGAGCGATTCGTTAGTTCTAGTCTACAATAGGTGCTTTAAGTCCTAAGCCTTAAGAAATTAACCAATCACAATCGAATTATAGAAGAATAATCAATCGTGATTGATCAATTTCTTAAAACTTAAGGCTTAAAACTCTATTATAGATCTAGCTTTAGATAGATGTTTTATCGGCTTCCGGCGTTCCATTTTTGTCGATGAACAAATCCTGCGTTATCTCCGATAAACCGATTTTTCTGCGTACGTATCCTTGACAAACTATTACCTTATCACGCATAAAGCACGCAAGCAAGTACGTTGATCTTTGATAAACTAAGCTCTTCGTCATGATAGATTCTTTGTCGTCCTCAAGGCAATCATTTTAGTTTTATCGAAGAAACCTTCAATATTCTGAGCGTAAATATGGATTTAAAGTTTTATAAACCCGGAAAAACCGGGTTCTTCAGCCATTTTCTGTGGATTTCGTCGGTTTTTGTCTCGAGGGTAGAAAAATTCGTTTGGAAAAATTTACGTATGTTCGGTTAAGACCTGCCACATTTATCTTTTTCCGCGAAACAGATTAGAAAGCAAAGAAATCCGCGGAAGAATTGGCGAAAAAAACGGTTATTTTTCCAAGCCTTCGGAACTATTATGTAGATTATCCATCACTTTCTTAAGGATATAAATTTCGCATTGTTTACATTCGTTCCTTATTCTCTCTCTTCGACAGACTGTTTTCTCATCGGATGAATTTTTCATTATTCTTGTAACGGACGGACGAGGAAGCGGTAGCACGATTGTAATGATCACGTACGGCTAACTGATTATTAGAATAGTAAGAAAGCTTGACTCCGCCGGCTGTCTCCGACGATCGACCGCATTTCCTTTCGCAAGCGTGACAGTTCATCGCACCAAAACTGCTGCGCGCATCGTCCCAGAAACTTATTATTCCAGATTGGTAGCTAACGGTACGGCTACCTCTCACGGTTTCGACGCGGCGGGAATTCTAAAGGAAAAAAAAGAAAAATCGACCGCGAATTTCGAAGCATAACGTCGCTAATGCGATCTTCGACGCAGCGCAAACGCCCAGAAAACAAACACAGAAGAAGAAGTGCTTCATTCAAGTGAACATTTACTCCAATATTCCTTAGCAAATTTTTCCTTGGATCAAGTAATATTTATATCAAAGTAAATCGTCCAAATAAAAATTTGCTAGGGAGTATTGGAGTAATTATTCACTTGAATCTAGTACTTTCTCTCTTTTTTTCTTTTTTCTGTGTACATTTCCGTGCATAATTTTTACTTGGATCAGGTAAATATTTTACACTAGAAAACCCATTTAATTGATTCAAACAAAATTTGGTTAGAATATGCTCAAACAAATGTTTGTAAGAGTCAAAATTTGATTTTCTAAACCAAAGGTTGAGATCTCTGACACGAAAATGAAAAAGGGTTTCCAGAGAACTGAACCTTTGATTCAAAGAAACAAATTTTGGTTCTCATAACCAAAAGATTTGTTCGATATCCCGACCAAATTTCATTTAAGTCAACTAAATGGATTTTTCGGTGTATTTGAATGATTTATTTTGAAAATATTTTACTTGGATCAAGTAAATATTATTCGATAAAAATTCGCCAAGGAATGTTAGATTAAATATTTACTTAAATCTGGTACATTTTTTGTGTATATCCACGCCGATCGAGACGCTCAACCCAAAAACTGCATATTCGTCTTAGAAAAAGAAACGAAAATAGAAAAGTTACACGCCGATCTCGACTCGACGCTGAGTTCGTCCCGCAGTTCTGCAACGCACGGCACGGCTGTCTCGCGTAGAATTCTGACTCTCGGGGCGAGATCCGGCGGCTGCCATCGCCATTTGAAGCATGTAGAAAGCCCATGCGCGAAAAATCGTAGCCATAAAATTAATTCAAAGGTACGCGCGACATTCCGCGAGTCTCCGCGCATCTCCGTTCGCGCGAGGCTGCCGCAGCGCGCGTCTCCTTATCGAGAGGCGCGCGTACGAAAAAGCGACGAAGGAGAAGATTCGCGCGCGGAGAAAAAGAAGAATCCGAAAGGGTGCGCGCGTAGGAACGACTAGCCATCGGCGACGGCGCCGACCCCGGGGCCCCAGACGAGGGGATGTGCGGGGGTTGTCGAGCGGAATACCGAACACGAATACACGGCCACGTGACGTGCCGCGGCCGTTCTCGAGGGCGGCAACCGAGAACGGCGAGTTGCAGTGGACGTCCTTGCTACGTTATCTGCCAACGTTTCGTTCCCTTTCACTTTCAGTGTCCAGGAACCAGAAACCCCGGATCCATGCGAACAAAGATACACGTTGGCCGTCTAGTCGTATTTCTCTCTCTCTCTCTCTCTCTCTCTGTCTGTCTCACTCCCTCTCCTTTTCCTCTCTTTCGCTATCACGTCGGAATCGAAAGCTCGCCGCCGGCCAGATGTCGAGGATAGATAGATAATTAAGAAAACGCGATGAACTGCACGCGTCCTGGTTCGTTAGGTCATCGGACGCGCGCGTTTTACGCCGTCGCGTCGGCGATTTGAATTAATTAACGTTGCACTCCGCGAACACGGCTCTCGCTTTATCACGGCGGCTGGAGCGGCCGATATCCGTGAGCTGCGCCCGATTGAATATATGATTTTAATGCACTGGCTTTATACAGAGAGCTGCCCCTCTTCCCCCCCCCCCCCCCCC